CTAGAACTGTCAGCTGTCAAATGACATAGCAATAACATAGATGCGAATGACTCTAGTACTTCCAAAAATGAACTAGTGCCATCTGTCACAAACATGCATCATGACTTTTCTGACAACCCAATAATTGTTGGAACATGGAGAAACACTATCAGGAGAAAAGAAGCAGATGCCTTTGGTTGCAGAGTTGTCTGAAGGGGGAAGTTATAAGGATACAAGAAAAGATATCCATGGCTTGAATGAATCCTTTACAATGGGGTACAGTAATGAGCAACCACGAAGACCCTGTGTCTGAAGTGACAGAAATGCCAACTGTGGAGTCAAAGGTTGCTCTTGAAAGAATACAGCTGGAGTCCAGGGTCCCACTGGATAAGCTGCAGTGAATTTGAGTATGCTGAAGGCACCGACTATGCTTCTCACACTTTTAATCTTGACTGCAAGAAAATCGGTCCACTTTATAGACATCTCTTATTATTCTTTGGAGGATTATTTCTCTGTGGAATTAGGCTGGTATCACAAACTGGTGTCTCCATCTTTTAGATGGAGACATGAGTTTTGGGACGATTAAGCTGTTGGTCAGCAGCTCGTCACCACCCCATATAACCAGGAAAATAGCTGAGCATCCCAGTCAGGTTGCCTTTCCTCCCCATCCTGTCTGTTTACCTAAGAGCAGACATAGGTATTTATGCGATGTGTGTCTGAGGCCAGCATGATCGCGGAATATGGCTTCTGCATATTTTATTCAGTATTTATGCATTTCAGAGGTGCTCCAAATCCAATCTCAGGGCCAAATTGGCCACTGGCCATTGACTTTGGTTTCCCCAGAAGGAGGGCTTGCTGAGCAGCCAAAGGCTTTTATTCCTGAGGAATTTGAATCACAGTCTATCTCTGTTCCTCAGGGAAGAAACAGACACAGGCTAATCTCACGACTGTGAGAGTTTATTACTTACATGATATCATTGGGAGCACACTGTCCCAGTGATGCTTGGCAAGTCGACAGAGTTTTTCCCCAGTGTCAAACTGTTTGGGTTTCAACAGCATTAAGACTGGAGGCTCATGATATATATACATAGAGCCTCTCCTAGAGTTGTGCTTTGGAAGATGTTGGTAAAAGGACATATTCATTACAGGAGCACCTGTGGATCCTGAAAGGAATAGGATTGGGAACAAGTGCCATTTGAAGTCTATCCTTGACTTCCCCTGTGTCTTGTCAGTACCCTGAGTGCTTTGCTTGGGAGGGAGATATTGAAAGCTTTCTGTTGATTTAGTCTCTCCTTTGTTTCTCGCCCAGGTGAAAACTCTGGGGACATCTGATCCACTTCTTCACTCTAGGAGATAATGCCTGACTTTCACCCATATAAGACATCTTGACTCATATGGGTGCTTTGGGATACTTAACAAAGAAATCCAGTCATTTTATCACTCATTATTCTGAAGCTATTCAATTATTCCCTTTCAGAAATGCACATTTCCCTGGCATTATTTTAATAGGTAATAATAAGGAACATGGTTGATGCTTATTCTCCAATATTTGAGAGTACTACAAATCTCTCCCAAACACACATTTTCTTGGAGTTTCACAAGAGCTCTTTTAAGGTAAGTTATTGGAATTTCTAATTTGTTTTCTGCAAAATAAAGATTTGGGAAATTGAATGACTTGCCTAAAGCCACACAGATGATAAGCAACAGACCCCAGACTTAAATGCAGATGGTCTGACTCCAAGGCTAAATGTTTTATATAGTGCTGCCAATCACCAGCCTGGATTAAACAGACAGATTAAAGTTTTCTTTATGGCACTTTTGTCACTTTCTTCTCTTCAGGGAACAGTTATCACAAGGTTCTGACTGTCCCTGAAAGCACGCTGGGCCTACATTCTAGCTGTTTCTGACCACCTCCGTGAAGTTTTTCTATAATAACTGAAAGAATTTTGATGGCTTTGTCCAGCCCTATGGTGAGCACACAAGCATTTTGCTCCCCCATAAAAGAAGAAATAAAACCACATCTGTCTTTCAGTATGACTATGAAGATGAAATGAGATGGTATAGTAAAGTGCTAGCAGAGGGACCCGTACATGCAGTAAATATTAGGACCTTTCTCCAAGCCTTACATCTTTTCCTTTTTAAAAATTACTTCCTTAGGATAATTTCCTAGAATTGTGATTACAAGGGCATACATCTGGATCATTTTTATTCTTCTTTCTTATAGGTAGCCCAAGAGTTTTAAAAACCAACTGGTAAGGATGCCAGCAGTGTACGAACTTAAAGAATTGCTTCTCTGTATTGCCTGACATTTAAAAATGAGTTTAGAAAAGTTAAAAAGAAAAAAAGAAAGAAAAGAAAAATCTCCAGTTGAAACAAAGAAGAGGCACTCTAGACTAAATAAGGTATAACTGTCCTCTCTGAGTGGCTGATTACAGACAAAACACTTAAGAAAGAACCCATCCATTTAGGAGGTGGGAGACAGAGACAAAGGGCACTTGGGGAAATGTGAAAAGAACTCGTGCTGTGTCAGGCAAACTTACCTGAAACCAGAGAGTATTTCTGGGGAAGCCAAGGGAGAAAGAGCTTTCCTCATATAGAGAAGCTAGATCGATCGACCTGGATAGTGGATAAGGGGTTGGCACTCAGATATGGGGAAGAGTGGTCCTCAGAGCCATAAGCTTGGAAGTAGCTCTCAGGGCCCAGCATTTTCACAGAGCTGGCCTGGGATGCATGATCCAATCTAGCACACACCGTCTTCTAGGAGTGGTGCCCTCCGGGAGGTTCTCTGATCATTTGGGAAGCAGGGGAGATGGGTGAAGATGTAACAAGAGCACTTAAGATCCTTTGGTTACCAATTGGCTGCTTCTCCTAACTAGTTAGTGTTAAAAATCCTCAAAATCAAATAGGCCTGATTTTGGGGGTCAGTAAGGAAAGGGAGCCTGAGAAGACTGTGTCCTCTGTGTTAGCATATCTTAATGGAAGAGGAAGCCCAAAGTATAAGCCCAAAGTATAGAGTAAGAGATAGAATAAACAAACCTAAAAAAGGAAATAAAAGCAGTTTGAATCCTTGGGACCCCTGGGAAAGAAGAATGGAGAAGAGAGAGGCAGGTGGAGGGGTGCCTGCTGAAGCCCCCACCCCCACCCCCATCCTTTAACAAGCCAACTCCTAGGATCCATCTGGGGTGAGTTGGAGGGTCAGAGAGGAGCTGACCAGCAAGGAAGCTGGATCAAGCCAAGTGATGGCTATTTCTGTGTTTTGTTACTTAGACTCTTCTGGTTCCTGTTTCAGACTGTTGAATGAGTTCTATCCTGTTGCAGTGGTCGGTGGGTCCTGCGCAAATCCCTCCAGTATTTAATGACCCTGAGATGACTTGATAAATGTGATTCAGAAGCCATTTTGCCCTTTGCTTGTTTTGGTTCAGGCAAAATAGTGTTATTTTAGGTCCCTGGGAAGATTCACTACCCCTAAAATGCCATAATTTCTCTCTGCCCTTGGCCCTTGGCCCTCATCTCTTCTCCTGCCATGCCACCCCCAAAATAGAATTTGAAGCCTGTATTTTTAGGGTGAGAACTATACTTTTTTAGCTTATGACTTTAAACTTGGCTAATGAAACTGCCACTTGAAGCTGTTATCTACCAAAGATAGATTCCTTGTTACTGTTTTCTTAATGTTCTAAGGTTTACAAAAACTTTTTCATGCATTATCTAGTTAAAACAATACTACCAGCCTTTGAAGGTATGTTTTACACAAAGATACCTGAGGTTGTGACAGTGAGGTTAGGTAAGCCACCGGAGGTAACACAACTAGTACATGGCGGAGTCAGGATTTTAATATGATTAGATGCCAACATCAGACATTCCCCACTACACCAGTCTGCTTATTTATAGGAAGAAGGTGGTTCCTGTGGCCAGTCAGTACCTGGACTCTGGAATCACACCTCTTGGGTTCAAATCCCAGTGCCACCACTGAGTATTGATTGACCTTAGACAAATCACTTAGCATCTATTGCATCAGTTTCCTTGCCTGGAAGCTGGTGATATAATACTACTTCCCACCTTACAGGGCTGTGGTGAGGATTAAATGAGTTAATACATATAAAACTCTTAGAACAGTTTCTGGCACATATGGCACACTGTATGAGTATTGGATATTATTAAGAAACCTCTGCTTTTAAGAGACTTTGTGGTAAAATGATATCATCCTTTATACATCTCATTCTGCTTTTACTTCTCTCTTGGAGAGCAACAGGAAAGCAAAATAGCTGCTTCCCTGATATAAGCACTAAACTGAGCTTCTCTGGAACTTCCCATAGATTTCCTCCAGGATGAAGAGATTAACTTGTGGAATTATAGACCTTCTGGGCTTGGAATTGATTTTAGACAAATCTGGCTCCCTACTGCTCTGAGGGTCCCACAGCTAACTGGTGTCTGAGCTGTCTCATGACTCCTAATCAATCTAGTGCCCTGACTTTGAGCTATAGACCATAGACACAACACTTTTTTTTTTAGACTTCTTGTTCCTTAGGAAATAGTCACTTTTGCACTGCAAAGCCTTTTTGAAATCAAGTGGGCAATTGTCATAACAACACATGATTTTGAAAAAAGGTGGAAAAGAAAAGATGATTATCTGTGTGGAAGCTACAGCTAGATTTTTGATACAGAGTTTGTTTAGGTGCTTTTGAAAAAGTAGAAAAAAATATTCTGTGCATTAAAGCCTCAAAGTAAAAAATAATTTAAACACACCATTTTATTTATTTATTTATTACCTTCAGTGTGATCAGAGGAAGCAAATAGAAACTGAAGCTTTAATCAAACATAAAGAAAAAAATTGCCCTGAGATTGAAACTGAGTTTAAATTGACATTTCTGGTCATCATGCAGGCTCTTAAGGGAAGGGGAAAAATAATGTTTTCCATCCCATCCTCTAATATAAATGTTAGCGAGCTTTGGATTATCCATTTGAGAATTTTTCTTACTGCCATTGAAAGGCAAATCTTTGAATACAAAGAAAATAAAAAGGCAAGTCAGTGATTAGACTTTCAATTCATGCACTTTAACATATGGGTGATGGGCATGCAGCTGTTTCATCAAAAATAAGGGAACATGTAGTTTGCTTGGGAACAAAAGAATCTAATTTTCTCAAATTGGGATGGGAAGCAGTGATTTAAAGGGCAGAGGCATAGCTGACTCTCAAGGAGCCCCTAAAAAAGCTGCACACCTTCAAAAAACAAAAGGTCTCCCAGTATGAATGTGATGGCATTTGTGAGTGAGCTTGAACTGGAAAAGAGATCCTACCCACAGTTTTCCCTGAGGGAACAGGATTAAAACTGTTGATAAACCATACAAATTAAAGGCAGTGATTATTTCTCTGAGTTGTATGCCCTGCCTCATTTCTTTAAGTTACATCCAGACTGGCCAACTGGGATGTAAGCAAGCTCACCCCTAATTCATGCAAAACCTGGGCAACAGTACAATTGGAAGCCTATATACCAGGAGTCTCAATATTTGAAGTAATAAATTAAGCTAACAAACTATTAAACAAAATGTGTTCTTACCTTGACAAATGTATCTTGTGTATTGCCTGGGGTAAGAGTGTTCCTGAAAGGGAGTTCATTGTCTTTCATGACAGTTCAGAACACAAGCACTGGGACTGGTCTATAGCTAAATTAGCATGTTGTGACTTTTCTGGGATAACTGCTTTAAAATTTGCTATTCTGTTGCCTGACCATGGATTGGGCTGTTGTGTTGTCTGACCGTGGATCAGGTGACAAGTTACAGCTTTAAGTTTGGTCACCACACACATATATGTGAAGGTCTAGTGGTTCTTAAAGATGGCAGCATTTGCATTTGTGTTGGAATAATTCTTCATTGTATGCAGGACTCTCATAAGCATTGCAGGAATTTTAGCATTCCTGACCTTTTTGGGTTAAATACCAACAAAAGACCTCAGTTATTGACAAGTAAAAATGTTCCAACTTGTTTTCAGATGCCCCATAGAGGGGATGGTACTACTCCTGGGTCATAACTTCTGGTTCATAGTATCTTTAATATTTCCTATAAGCTACAATGGTTAACATTTATTGAACACTTTCTATGTATAGAATGCTTCCTTGGTCCCTGGGTTGAACAGAGGCTTGATCTGGTGATGTTGTATTGTCAGTGTTATCACTAGGATAGCTGAGGAGAAGGTAAAAAATTATTACTTCTTAAATGTGTATTGTCTGTCCGGCAGAGTGGCTCAGTTGGTTAAGAGGTCGCTCAAGTGTGTGAGCTCTGAGCAGCAGTAGTTTGATTCCTGGCCCGAGCTGAGCTGCCACTGAGCTGCCAACAGGTGGCAGGATGGCTCA